TTTTTCATCCAGCTACCTTATTTATTTACTGAATTCTAGCTAGTCTTTAGTTTAGAAAGTAAAGATCTGATTAATATTTTAAATTTTCTTCAATCTCAGTTACTATCTAAAATTTTGGATTCCTTCTCAATAATATTAAACTTCTGGGAATGTTTTATTTGTTTTGTATTGTAAAATGGCCATACTTTGTCATGGTTAATCATTGACAGATTCCTTTTTTGGATGTTAAGGAGGATGTGTACCCAAATAGTTTGATTCTGTGTTTTCTTAATTTGATATTGTTGCAGCATGTTCATTGAGTTGTTTTATACAGATCCTTAGTACAAGAGCTCGCAAAAATGTGGTAGTGAGTGACATCAAAGTTGATGTGTGCATATTTGCTTTTGACATCTTGTATCTTAATGGGCAACCACTTCTTCAGGAACAACTGAAAGTTCGTAAAGAGGTATGCCTTTTACTGTGACACGAATGGTTCTGGACTTTTTGATAATAGAATTTATTTTTGTCATGAGTTATTAAGTGATTGTGTACTTACATTGTATATCTTCGATATGCAGCTTATATAATTTTTTATATCTCAAAATGCAAAATGTCACTAGTGTTGGTATCAATAAAAATCCACTGTGAAGATTTTATGTTATGTTGATTATAAGGAGATACTATTGGCTTGCATGGTTAAGTAATTGATTTGGGATGTTGTTTGTGTTGAGTAACTGTTTATCTTGTTCACTGCATGTGCTATGCCTAATTTAGTTCACTGGGGACTTGTTACATTTGCTCTTTGCAGAGGCTTTATGACTCATTTGAAGAAGAGGCTGGGTTTTATCAGTTTGCAACAGCCTTAACATCAAATGAACTTGAGGAAATACAAGCATTCCTTAATTCTGCTGTTTCTTCGGGGTATTTGTTTAATTCTTCCGACAACTTTTAGCGGGCAACTAGCGTGAGCTGAAAGAGTAGTGTAAACAAAATAAGCGAAATAATTTTATTTTTTGCTCAAAGTACTTTGTATTTTGATGATGCAAATTAGTCTTTCTTTGCAGTTGTGAGGGCTTAATTATCAAAACATTGGATAGAGATGCTACCTATGAGCCATCAAAGCGGTCACTCAACTGGCTAAAATTGAAGAAAGACTACATGGAAAGGTAATTTGTATGAAATATTTACTTCTCTGTGCAAATTATGATCAGGTGCTATATTGGTCATTTTTAACTTTTTATTTTATTGTTCCATACAGTATTGGAGACACAATAGATCTAGTACCTATTGCTGCTTTCCATGGCCGTGGGAAACGGACTGGTAAGAACTGTTTCAGTTAATTTAACCTATCAGATGATGAGAGCTCATGTAGAGTTTAATCTCTGTTGATGGTTTCAGTTCTCAACTTAGTGCTTAGGCGATTCTGTCCTTAATTGATGTCTGATTTGTGCTGATGCCGCAATAATGTTTGTTCTTAGGCTTCTATGGTGCATTTCTCTTGGCATGTTATGATGACAGGAATGAAGAATTCCAGAGTATCTGTAAAATAGGTGAGTGAAATTAAATGGCTACTGTTCTACACATTGCTTGTCTTTCCAGCTGACTGTCCCCTGAGCCCCCCTCTCTTTTCTTTCTCTCTTTTACGTTCAATAGGTACGGGATTTACTGAATCAGAGCTTGAAGAACGTTCTGCTAGTCTCCGCTCTAAAGTGATTCCTGAACCAAAGGTTTGTCTCTTGATATCATTTTCTGTTGGAAGAAGGGAAATTGTGAGCAAATAGGTTTATTTATGATTAACATCCAAATTTTAATGTTCTTGTTGATTACAGTCATACTATCGTTATGGAGAGATGATGAAACCAGATGTATGGTTCGAGGCTACTGAGGTAAAATTGGCCCCACTTCTTTCATAAAAGTATCTTTGTGTGTGTGTGTGTGTGTGTGTGTGAATTTGTTAGTTGCAGGTACTATAATGTCTATGTTTTTGAAGTGGACAAATGTACTTACTGGAAGGAGTATCCTTGTATGGTACATATAATCAGGTAAGGAATGGTTTAGTTGTGAGCTTGCCACAGCTCTTAGTTAGAAGGGTATTCGAGTTTTCCATAATAGGGTGGGGTGGGAAGTGTGGGCCCCAACCCTGCAATTTGATGGGGCAAACTATTCGTTTATAGGTCCTGTGATACAAACAGTGACAATGAATTTTCAGTTCTCTTGACTGGGGCACTCAACTTGCTAAGATCATGGTCTGAACTAATATTAGTTTCTGTATCATTTTGCCTCCCATTTGTATTTGAAGCCTCTCGATGGGATTGGTAAATTTTCTCCTTTTTCAGCATTCTTTTGTATGATGCATGCTTGTGTTATATTTTGTCACATTTTTTACTCCATGTTCTCCATTCACCATATATGCCTGTGTCTGCTGTCTATTTCTTCTTGTCATTCGAAGTAATTATTAACTGAGTTTGCAGCAACTGTTATAAATGCTCTTCTCATTCTGTCTACTTGCTTCCATTTGTTGAAATCTATGTTACTGATTATATGTACCATACAAGGATTTAAATGGTTACTGTGGACTTAATGTAGTTAATTATTGTGCATCTTACAAGAATTGGAAGCCATTTGTTGAATCCTAAATAAATTAAGAATTGAAATCTCAGTTCTAGGTTCCTATAGCTATTGTTATAATGTCCTTGTTTGCTCGTATCCCTTTGCATTCATTAAATACTGATTAGGTACAATTTCTGCTATTGCTAGTCATGTTTTCAGACATTTGTTCAAGTTGTTTTTGTTTAATTTCTTGGAGGTTTGGGAGGTAAAAGCTGCAGACTTGACCATTAGCCCTGTTCATCGTGCAGCAATTGGGATTGTGGATCCTGATAAGGTGGGACAAAATTTCACATGTTGAGCCTTACAGTTTTATTTCTCCGTTTTTTTCTTTTCTATCATTTCCTATTTTCTTTTATTCCATGAATGTATTGTGTGACCATTTCTGAGGGTGACTTATTAGTGGGGATCCTGCAACTGTTGTTTTTCTCAAAGCTAATCTCAGTGCGTAGAAAATGAACTCTTATTCCTTGTTCTTCTTGGTAAAAGGGCATATCTCTCCGATTTCCTCGTTTAGTTCGTGTTCGAGAAGATAAGGCTCCAGAGCAAGCTTCATCATCTGAGCAGGTGAAGAACAAATAAGCTGTCTGATAATATTTTCTCGTGATTTATGCACAAATTGCTCTATAGAGCTCTTCCATGATCTGCTGCATACTGGAAAAATGAATAGAAACAAATTATTCATGTGATATGAGAAGTAATTATGTATATATATAAAAGCCTCACTTATTTGAGTTATTTCCTTTTTGCATAATTGCTGTTCTTGAATATTTGCAGGTTGCTGAGATGTACAATGCTCAAAAACACAATCAAGCTAACAATGAAGATGACGGTGATGATGATTGAGGATTTCTGATATGTTTCTCCTTGTGAAGTTCTATGCCTCTCGGATGTTACAGTCTGAATGTTTTTCCTCCCTAGGTAAGTTTATTCACACAAGGCTGGAAGTTACGGTTATCATTAATTTCAAATGTGAAAGGGATCTTCAATTTCTAAACTTTGCAATGTAAATACTAACATTCTTTTTCTCGCTTGCAATCAAGGAAGCTTCCCATTGCTAGATGGGCTAATTTGTTTATCAGTTTTCCTTAAGAAAAAACCTTTCAAATCTGTCATGCAAATTGCCGCCTATATTTTTGAAAATCATGGAATGCTTTTGTGATTGTTGATTAGTGTTGTTTTTGAAGTTGTGTTTTATCATGTTCATTGTATTAGATATATTATTCTTAAGGGGAAAATGTTTAGCAAGGAACCACTAATTCTTCAGAGGTAGACCATGCCTGCCCTGTATTAAGCCTGGCTTTCCATGGGTATGGCCTGGTATAATTGCCCTTTTCAGTGGGAATCAACAGTCTCTAGAAACCTCTCTTGACCCAAAACTAACAGAGTTCAGAAGTTGTAGAACTAAAATTTGTTCTTTTTCTTCTTATTTCTGAGCTGTGATAATCTTTATAGCCTCTATAAGCGGAGGACCTAGCGGCGGAGGCATCTGTTTCATAGTAGGAACGAGTCTTCAGTCAAGTATAGCATGCTAGCATGTTCATTTCTATGGCACTGCCGTGTGGACTGGACAATTCTCTGGAATATATAGGTATTTTCCCATTTGCTGCCTAACATTTCAACCAAAGTCTCACACAAATTGCACTTGGCTGCTGCAATTCTTCCTTTCTATTAGAAATTGCCTGGAAAAGATCATGGCTGCTGCTCCCCCCTTGCTTTGCTTGCTTGACTACCAGGGGATTTCCAGTTTCCTAGCGCGTTTGACATCCTGTCTGAGCCTGGAAACAATGTTAGTCCTCAATCTTCTAACCATGTTTATACGTTCATAGTTTGGTTCTATCCAGGAAAAACGAAATTATGTCATTGTCTCGATCCCTGTGCTTGCGTGGTGGGCTTGACCCTTGGTTTTGGCCTTGTCAATGACGTAACAGCTAAAAGAAAGGGCAAGTCTGCTTCCAAAAACTTGCTGGGTTAATGTAGATTTTTTCCCTTAATTCTGTATCTGTTTCTTAAGATACACCAGAAGCCAGCCGGTGGCACAAGCAGCAATTACGACAATGTGAACTTGACTTTGTAATAGCTCTTCTTTCCATTTGTGCTTTTACATTGACAAAATATGCAAGAAGCAAACGGAGCGAAGTTTGTTTGAATCTAACTTGTTTCAGAAATATTAGCAAATGGAAATTGTTTCCCAGATAGACAGCAACATTGGGTGATGCTCGAAAACTATCCAAAAACCTGAGGCGGCTATTAAAAGTTTTATTCGAACTTATCTCAAATTGAGATACAAGATATCCAAATAATATATTATTGGGTTAGGTATCTGTGAATATCCATGTAAAGCCAACTCAATTACATCCCTGGACAGTAAAACAGTAAACAAGTTGAGTGGGAGCAGATGGATTGAAAGAAGCTTTAAGGAATATTAGTAGTATATTACCATTAAACAAGAGAAAAGAGGGAGAAAAATGATTCCGAGAAACATGAGATTAGACTTACAAATAAACAATAATCATACTTTCCCTCGACCGAAAAAGTAGTAAAAAAAATCATACATCACACCAGTAGCAGATCCGGATTCTGATTTGTGGGATCCACTGATCCGACAAGCAAAGCCTCTTAGACCTTCTTGGTTGTTGGCCATACCCATCTTCCCCATTTCAACAACTCCACACCCATTCTTGCTTGAAAAAATCTTCCTTAATTTTAATGTAATCTCTCAATTCCTCAAACAGTCCACACTTACAAAGCAGCACACACGCCTTGGCAGGCTAATAGAAAGCTAAAGTTATACTAAATTTTTACATGCCACAGCAGTTCTTTTTTTGATTTTTGGAGAAATCAAAGCTCCCTTTCACATCATGGAGCAAAAACCAAATTTGAAGAAATGGAGAAAAAAAAAAAAGGGGCTTGGGAATAAAGACAAAAATCTTCACCGGAAAACATTGGCAAAAAGCCAAGAAACAAAAGCTCTCTCTGCGACTCTCTCCAAAGAGTTAACTAGGAAGTTGGGTAGTTGCTTCTCTAAAGCAAACCTCTGTACAAAAATGCTAAAAGATCAGTCACTATACCCTGATAGGCTGATTTTCCACCCTGCAATTTCATCCTCACTAACCTATAATAAGTTTTAAAAATGGTAGTAAAATTTTTATGGCAATTAATACTATGTAGACTACTCTTGTTGGTAGTGGCAGTCAATGGAGAAGTAATCTTTGGTACTTGGTCTCTGCAGGAGAATCAGAGGCATCATAAAGACCCCTTTTCCTGTTAACTTTACCACAGGTGTTTAGGTGTTTGCAACCGTTAATGCTGATCAAGGAGTCTTGGTGGAGGAGTTGTGGGGTTGGTGGTGGTGGTGAAGGGATGGTCACAGGTGGGATCTCGAAGGACTCGAGTGGTGGTGGTGGGTGTCTCCATTGAGGCAGTGGTCCAGCTAAAAGAAGGGTTTGCAAGAGCGGACCAGCTTTCATCACTGCCTGTAAAAGCTTTCCCTTTTCAGGTAATGGCTTTTCAGGGACCAGCTCGATGGTTGCTTGTGGCATGGATTGAGGTGGTGGTGGTACTTGTGGTGGTGCTGGTGGCAGTTGGGGTTGTTGAATTGGGTCGAGAACAGGAGATGAAACGATGCTTTCCTCACAATCAGATGATGAGAAGCCATTGTTGGAGTCAATTCCTCTTCTGCTCATCTTCAATGCTAGAAACTCCAGAGAGAGGAGCAACTTGCTGTTGTTGTTGCTGTTGGTGAAGCAGGAGCTTCTCAAGGAAAAGTCTTTGACATTTCTCCTGTGCTTCATCCCTCTCCCTCATTGCCTTGCTCAGCAACTCTTTTAGTTGAATTAGCTGATCATCCCTCTTTCTCAGCTCCTCCTGAACTGCCAACCTTGTCTGTTCCAGCTCAAGAGTAGTATACAAAAGAGAATGCCTTAGCTCTTCCATTGTCTGCATAATAAAAAACATCCAATTAACAATTTAGCCCAAAAAAGGCCCCCATTTTGCATACCCAAGCCATAAGAAGAAAAAGGTCAAACAAAACCAAAGCAAACTCCTAAACCACTCAAAGAGAAGAAACAAAGAAATGTGTCTTACCTTTCCCTGACTGAAGTAAGCCCAGCTAAAGAATTGACCTCTCTGACTCTCCATGCTCTCAGAGTTGGAACACTCTAAAGAACTGATCTAAACTGAACTTGAAAGTGATTTGTTTTCCTCTTTTTTTGCTGTTCAAGTGTGAGAATGAGTGAGAGAGAGAGAGAGAGAAAGAGAGGATAATCAAAGGTGGGGTTTTGGAGTGGTTCTTCCAAGTCTTATAAGAAGGCAGCAAGCAGCAACAGGAACAGCAAACAGCAGCTATCTACTATTTTCTTTTTCTGTGTCTGTCACTCTGTCTTTCTGTTGCTTTTTTCTAACTGGGGGTTGGACAAAAGCACAAAAGGCCAAAAGCCTACCAATTGGCCAGTATCTATATGCAATTCTTAAGAGTTTAGAGGGGGACTCAGTCAGTCTTTTTGTACTCAGTCCATGCCTGTGTTTCTCATCCTAAAGCCATGCACCAACTAGCGTGAAGAATCAGATATCAGCGCCAAAAGCGGGGGTAGAAAAAAAAAAGAAAAAAGAAAAGCCAGCCGCTTCCTCCATGTCTTCTTTTTACCCAAGTGTAAACCATTTTAACCACAGCTCCTTGTCTTTTGGTTGCTGTGCTTCACCAAGAATAAATTCGGGAAGAAAAAACTTTCACATGAATATATTTCCCTTAGAAAACTGTAAGAACCCAAAATTTTTCATCTGTTTGTTTATCTTTTACATTTTGGACCTTGATTTGACATATCAGTTTGAAGGGTTTAAGGGGATTCTCTGTTTTGGCTTTGCTGTTGCAATTTGTGAACATATTTGACAATATAGATTTTCATAGTAACTGCAGAGCATATTAACAATACTTTCATACCAAGAGAGAACTTAGAAACACATGGATAGTGATAGCAATGTGTTTTCCATGCTGGGTAACTTGAAACCAGTGTTGTCCCATCTTTTTAACCATAACCCAAATAGTTTAATCCAGAAAGCATGCCAAGTGTAAAGATTCTAAGCACTATTAAAATCAACCCCAAGGTCAGAAGCTGTTGAATATAGTTGGATTTGTTTGCTCTAATTAAAGATGCCATGGCCCTTTGTTTAACAATATTTTCCTTTCCCAATCATATAGCAAAACATGCAAAGGGTTGTTCTCTGTCTAAACAGTCAATGCCCAATAATCTTGAGCAAGACAATGTTCTTTTTCTTTTTTTTTTTTTAATTTTTAATTACAAAGTCATTGTAACATGATTTTAGGTAGCATCCTTTTAACTTTCACTTGGAAATTGGAAAAAAGATTTTTGTTTTTACTGGCCTATAAATATATCTACTCCCATTGTCCTGTTTTTGTTATTCTCTTTTGTTGGTGGAACAATGCTTGGCCTGTCTGGCAGCAAAGATTAGTCTTTTTCCAAGTCCACTTAGTGAGATCAACGTTTTGGTACAAAATCAAGAAATTGTTTACTCCCTTTGCTTTATATCAAATTCAATGTTTTTATCTTAATTTCTGTAAAAAACAAAGATCAACAAAGAAAAAAACGACGAAGAGAGTCGTATGTATGATACCGGGGCATGGAATATAAACAAAGATTTTAGAATAATATCTGTAAATTCCAAACATATTGCCTAAATAACTAAGTTTTTATATGTTGAAAATAGATTTTTGGTACTTAGACTTTGATTTTCAATAAGAAAATTTAAGCCAATTTATGTTTTTTAAGTTGAATTTTCTGGGGGCTAAATTTAGGAAAGGGAAATCAGCATGCCTTTTTTGACAAACAAAGAAAAACGATGGAAAAGGAACACATTAAGTTTTAACTCAAGGAACTCGTTTTTGACTTGAAAGGAAAATTCTGTCCATTTTTTTTTGGCATGTACATAGTTTTTCTTTGTGAGAATAGACTACAAAAATTTTTAGAACCCTACAATGTAGACAAATTTTTTCCCATATCCCTCAAAAATCTCTCTTTCTTTGTGTGTTTTTTGTCTCTCAATCATGTTCATATATTGGGAGTCAATGGTTTCTTGTTTCATTGGTCTAAAAAGGGAGCTGGTGACCAAACTTTCCCACCAATATTTCCCTCTAGGAAAGCTAACGGACCCATTTTTTGAACAATAAAGTCCTCATTGTAGGAAAGTGGAAGGGCTTCCATTTGACTAATTCAAGACCCTTTTTTGCCATTGAAACAAGCTTAATCAATCAATTTATTTTAAGATTTTATATTTGATGCATTGATCAATGTTAATATCTATATCTGATTACTTAAGTGCTAGATAATTGTGTGTAGTTAATATATAGAATTTATATACTAATAGTACATAAAATACAAACCCTTAATTATATACTTAATTACAAAATCTCTTTTAACCTAGGACACGTGTAGGATTCAAGTCCTAAATCATGCAACTTAAGACAACCCTAACATGGGTTTTTACCATTGGCAGTTAATTAAGGGTATAGTCTTAGTAATGAAGTGTAGTTTTGTATTACTTTATTAACAATGATTAGAGGAGTGTGCTAAAAAAAGGAAGAAAAGAAAATTCAAGTGAGTAAAATCCAAAGGGGAAGGGGGGAAGAGGGAATAAAATGGGAGCCGTGCCTTACCTTTATGTCCCATCTAAAGGTGTGTGATTATCTATGGAGCATTATATTATGTCTTTTAACTTTATCAAAATCAACCTGCATATGTGGGCTTGCCCCTAGGAAACGGCAAACTTAAGCATCAGACCAACACCATTCACTCATCCCCCCTCAGCCCCTTTGCCTCCTGCGTCCCCCCCCCCTCTTTCCCCTTTTTTCCCCAGCTTGGACAGGTAAAGACAGGGTGTGAGCATCACCAATTCTTGCTTCTTCTGGCTTTGCCCCTTGGGGCTATCTGCATTATTAGTACCATATATTGTGCAACTACTTCCATGGTATACACAAGTACATATACATGTTTTCGGATATGTTCGGAGTGATAAACGTTAAGGATTAAAGATTCAAATTCTTTTTTTTTTTCTCAAATTCTCATTAAGTTAAACTTTTGAATAGTTTCAAGTTTTTGGATGGTTTTTTCGATGAAATTTAACTTATGATTTCATGTGAAGCTATTCATTAGTTTAAAGTCTTGAATGGTTTTGAGTTTTCGGACGATTTGTTTTTAATGAAATTTAGCTTATGATTTCATGTGAAGCATCAAACATACATAGTGGGTTTCAGATGATGACTTTAGCCTTTTAGGATATACAAATCAAGTAGGGTTTGAAAATGGAGCTTATTCTTGTGATGATTCATTATGCACAAAGGAATGAAAGAAACCCCTCCCCCAAAAATATACCTTCACCCATTTGCAATGAATATCTTCAATGTATCATTTGCCTCAAGGCATGTGTTTTGTTATGAGATAATAAATAATCATGATAGTCATAATAATTGTAATTATTATTTTAATAAACCGAATAATTTAAAGACATGCTAAAGATCCTTGTAAAACCTAGACCCCTCTTTTCCTGCCTAGTTGGTCCTTCTAGGTTATGTAGAAAGTCATCCTCAAATACACAAAGAGGAGACAGGATTTATCATTATAGGATCACCTTTACCAACATAAACACCCATAATACAATGCTTTAAACCAATATTTTCATATAAAAAAATGGAACAAAAAAATCCTTTATCTCGTTTAGTGTTTGTTTCATAATATTTATGTTATCGGTCTAATTTTATATTGTCATAAAGAACCTTATTCCATTTCATATAACTGGTTATTTTAAAATTATGAAAGAGATATCAAAGATTTTTTATATAGTTAAATATGAGGAATTTTGAGTGACCCACATTCTCAATTTTTTACACCATGGCCCCCACATTATCGTATTTGTTGTAGTGCCTAAACCATGATCTGGTTGGCAACCTAGACAGCAACAATTCTAATGGTGAGAAAAGAAGTGGGTTTAAGAAATGAGTTTGAACCCTAAACAAGGCTACAAAGGCATCCCTCCCCTTCATTTGCTTGCCTAAATATCCAAAATTATAGAAAGGAAACAAACATGGGTTTTATCCAATCAAATTGATAGTTGAGTGGAGACTTTGGTCGGCCAAATCCGAATTAGTTTAACAATCAATAGCAATTTGTTAAACATTTTTAATGCTTAATAAGGACATGGCCAACTATTTGAGGAAGTGGATTTCACCACCATTTGTGGTGGTAACTAAGAGCTTCTATATGTAGTTTTGCAAAGTAAAGTAAACGTGCAATTCACGACATCAATGTGACCCTATAAAGTTATAATGAACTCATCAAAGGGGTTAACGAATTTCTTTTAGGACGGTTAAGGAAATCAATCCTACCAAAAGGTAGATGTAGCAACTTGTTAATATACCCCCGTTATTCCTTTGACTATCACTTTGTTAATCATCTAGATAACAAAAGGTTACATGTCCATATATTCCTTTGACCAACTCTTTTCTTGTATAACAAAAGAAAACCCCAAAATTCTAGACCTAAATTCAGGTAAATGTAAATAAAAAACTGGGTTTTTACTATATTATTACATTCAGTTTATATTTCATGCACCCTTAATTTATGATACCTATATCTATATATTATCGATAAACTAAATGTTGTGGTCGCATTATCAAAAAGAATGTGGCTCTATGTGCTGATTAGCCTCAACTACCAAATCTAGTTGATATAATCTTGTTGCTTCTATGCTGTTTGCATGTGACACTAGATTTTGTTCCCGGCAGCAAATATATAGAAAAAATATAGTAAGTGATACTGGGGTTATGAAGATATGATGGCTAATACCCAAGATTTAACATATCACCTATAGAATTTTTGGCAAATCAAATCAATTTGATAGTATATGATAGCAAGAAACACCCACATTCTCCCTTAAGAGATAACTTGGAAGAAAAAACCCATTTTTTTTTATTTTCACAAGTAGAAAACAAAAGGGAGGGTTACATCAAAAAGGGGGTGGAATATACCTATAAATACCTCGATTTTTGAGTTTTCTTTGAAAATGAGATGATCAAGTTCTACCAAAGTGGGGTCCCCAACGGCAAATACCTGTCGGGTGGGAGCCAGTGGAAAATCATGGTTGCCAACCCTTTTGATTAAGCCGTGTGGGGTCTCATTGCCCCCCCCCCAAAAAATAGAAAATAAATAAATAAATAAATATATTTTTATATAAATAAAATTAGGATTTGAGGGATGAGGGGTCATTTTGCCCCCTTTAGTCTTTAGGTGGGTCGTCAATTCCATCTCAAATCATAATCATTGTTTTGGATCTTTGGAATCCCAAGTGGTCGTTATGCAAAAGCTAAAAAGCCCTCTCTCTACCCCCCTCTAACCCCAGTGTTTTTCATAATTATTATGCCTAATGTAAGTTGCACTACTATTAATTTTGGTGTGCTAGTTTTAACAAGAATGCTGTATGGTGAATTATTGGAAATTAGAATAGTTAACTTTTTCCATATTTTACTTTTTACAGCTCTAAACGTTTGTTGGTTTTTTTTTAAAATTTTTACGAAAATTAAGATAAAAATTTTGATTTTAACTTATTTTACATGAAAATTTTAATTCATTTCATAATGTAGATGTTCGATACTTTTTAATATATAATATAAAAAATAAGTGTAGTTAGTATCTAAATGAGGAAAAAAGACTTTATTTTTCAACTTCTAAAAAAAACAGATAAAGAAAAAGAGACTAAGGGAGTAATAAAGAATTTAATTTTTCAAGGGAAAATCTGTTTGTCCTCGTTTGACCACAAAAATTAATAAACGGAAATAGATTTAAATACATTGATTTATTTTAAAGAAATAGTTTAAAAATTAAGATGAACTCATGGTAATATATATTTTTATATATTTAATTATACCATCGCTTTTATTTTTCTTTTTGAATTTTAATTTAATTTTTTTTGGAGTGTTCTTTTTAAAAGGGCAAAAAAAAAAGGTCCAAACGGTCCCGTGAAGGAACGCGGTTTTGCGTCTCAAAAGTCTGATAAAACGACGGCCCATTTTGTCCCTTTGCAAAATTGCATGTGAGGCTTTAATTAATTAATTACGACTAAAATAATCACAAGAAATGGGATTCCGCCACGTGTCTATTATAAAATGTCTGTCTCAAAACTGCTGTTCGTGTAGGGACGGAAGCGAATAGAAATTTTCTGTCTCGTTTATATATCTCATTAGATTTTTTTTAATATATTCTTTATATTAATATTATTTTTTCATTACATTTACAATTTTAAAATTTTTAAAATAAAGTTTTTAATTAATAATATAAAATTAAATATGTAACATAAAATTATAAAAAAATATTTAATAAAACTTCAAGTGGAGCAGTGAATTTTTATTCAGACAAAAGCACGTCTTAAAGATCACGAGAGCAACTTAAAATCCTGTTTTTTTTTTTTAAATATTCTTTAAATGTGGTGTTGAGATCTTGTTTATGGACAAATTTACCCCTCAATCAAAAGATCAAAAGGGGGACCATTAACAAAGATTAATTTTGATAATTTTCTAAGGTTATGATTGATGATGGGGGGGGGTGTAAGATGTGATGGGAATCATACTTTAAAACAGGAAACATATATATTTTTTGATCAGATTAAAAGGGTCCCACACGGTTTTGTTATTATTCTATCGAGTTCTTTATAGTTGTATGAAGAATTTTGGTTATCAAAGATTTCACAGAGGATCAGTGTTCTTGACTTAGTGAGATTGATTCACATGCCCCCAATACCAAATTTGGTAACTGCCCACTTCTTGTCTGCTTACCAAATTGTTTACTACCATTTTCAAACAGCAATGGCTTTGGGAAGTCTTCCTTTTTGGCTAATTCTTTGAAAGATTGTATGTAAATTTCTAAATTATCGGGCAAATTATGGATAAAAATCGTTAATTAAGAAAATGTAGTAAGCACGATTATATTTTATGTACATTTACGTTTATTTAAACGATTTTGTTCAAATAGATTAGATTTTTATTTAAATATCCCCTTATTTTGTATTTTTTTTGGAGGTAAAACAATTTTCCAAAGTGTTAATTTTTCAAAAAATTTTATGTATATGAGCAAATTTTGCATGAAATTTTTAAATAGGAAATTGCAGCATGCGTGATTATAGTTTATATGAATGGTGATACTTATTTAAACGGTTTTGTTTGTGAGAAAACTTGTACATCATGATAATTAATAAATTAAAATAATCTTGAGGATTAAGATTTAAGTAGAGTACATTAGATATCCCCTTATTTTAAATTTATTTTGATCTTAGAATATTTTCATGGTTCGTTCAATATTGGTCCACAGGAAGGCATTGGACCCACAAACTTCAGGGTTGTCATGTCATGCATGGGCCATGGCTGTCCTTCGAAGCCCAATCGATCAATTGGAAAAATCCAAAGCCCATGATTTCTAATTGGGCTAATAAAAATAATAAATAATTTAAAAGAGGAAATGGGAAGGAAAGTTCTTGATGACCATATCTCTCACACACGTGCAGGAGCAACAAAAGAACAGAACATCAAAGTTAAATCAATCAAAAACTTGCAATTCAATCAGAAACAAAAGAAGTAACAATTTAGGGTAAAGGGATCCTCCATCACCTATCTTGGGATTTCCCTCAAGTTGCATGGTAGCCTGGTTCCAGCTGGCCTAGAAATGGATTTTTAAAGGGAAGGAGGAAATCTTGCTTGAGAATGCAAGATCTTCCATGCTTTTTCTTCCTGTCTTGTTCCTTTTTTTTTTTTACACAATCATTCAGCAGTTAAATAGAGACAAAAACCAGTTGTTTGGAAGCTGCTGTCAAAATGAATGGCAACATTAAGGATCCTTACAGTTGTTTTAAATTTATCAAATTGCATGAATCAGCACTCCATTTTAGCAACAATGAGTTCTGAGCCAGTCTGATTAGACATTTTGGCCCCTAATGCTTTGTTCACTAAGAGATGAACACATGAAGATTTGTTCACTGATAATTAGCAAGCCCTTTTTTCATTTTACAGTAACTTTAAAAATCATCCCAAAATAAAAAGAGAAAAATAATGTAAGTGCCACAAACAACAATACATAGGTTTACAGGAAGATACCAGAAACATGAAGGGGTTCTTGGAAATATGAGGAATGATGATTGCTGTTCAGTCTTCTCTCCTCATTTTAACATTAAGTGGAACTTCTTTGTAAGATTGCACCTTCTCAGCTGCTTTGCGTAGTGGTCTTCCGAATGAAGGTCTTTTCAGTTTTCGTGTTTCAGTCGTTGGGCTGCGAGCTTCTTCCTTTGTAATGGATGAAACTAATGATGGAGTCGGATCATCTTCATGCATTGGAGTATCAAGTTGCTGAGCCGCTGCATAATTAACATCTTCAATCTCAAACAGATTCTCTGTTGGTTCTCGCTCTTGGGATTTGAACCTAGCAGATTGCCTTCTCAGACAACGTCTACATAGTAAGAAAAAGCAGACTTGTTCTATTAGGTAAGGTAGGTGAGCTGTGGGGGGTGATTAAATTCTTTCGAGGGAAGAGAATCATGCAGTACTTCAGAACTCTAATCTGACAAGAATGTCATCAACACATAACTAAAGTGATACTAATTGTATCCCATAAAATTGGTTTTCATTGTTGGAAAGTAGCAAGTTACAGGTTCAAAATTATGGTCCATTGTGGCAGATAAGGGAAAGAATAAAAGGCTTGTCAAGTGAATGAATACAGTTAAAATGTCTTCTGTCAAGTAATTGACGTGTTAGCTGACCTTTTGCTTTCAATCTTCTCTTTATCTGCTCCTCTTTGGCTTGTAGTTGAAGGGCCCATTGCTGCAAGTAGCTCACAGATCTCATATGTCAACAAAACAGATTTAGAGGAGATAAAAAAGACAAAAAATAAAACTTGAAAAGGTAGTCTAGAAAATTCAAGCAAATCCATCATCTAAGAACATAAAAATTACATTGACTTCTAGCACTGCGTCTTCTGTTTCGGTTAGAAGGCTTGTCATCATCATTAGCTTTAGGCTGTATGCATTCCACAGCTGCCTGCTCCCCAGTCTCCCCCAGTAAGCCAGTGTTTTGATAGTTGATATCAGCTTTTCCCTGCTTTCGTAGTAGAAAAATGAAAAGGCTGAAGTGCAAGAATCTTTTCTTGTTGAAAATTTCATTATCTATTATAGGCACATTGAAAGTGAAAGGATTGCACACATCAATCCTACTAGCAACAAATGGTAGTAAATTCGTCCAGTTCTTGCAAGTAAGGATGCAGCTGCTCAGACATCTAGATTTGCTTATAGTTATTGGTGCATTGTAACATTATTTGACTCTAAATCTAATGACAAAAAGGTAATATGCTAACCCTTTTTTCCAAGTTCTTTGCTTTGAGTAAAGCATCCTTGCATACAAGCTCATGCTGCAGAGCTTTCACCTGAAAAGATTGACAACAAATTATCCCAATTGAAACAGGTTTAAAACTCCATGATACAAAACACCAATTTTCTGAAAGAGTGAATACTTCCGAACAAACTCACCTTGTCTCTCCCTAAATTAAGCTCCTGAACAACCAGCAAAAAACAATGAATAACAAATTAATAGTTGAATACTTGAGAAATGGAATGATGCTTAACAAAATCAACAAAGCCAACAGACCGCTAACATCTGGCTGTTTGATTGAGCAAGGTTCCAATTCTGTAGCTGTAACTTCTGCAAACAATTTCTCAGATTCTGCAATTCAGTTCCACTCAATTCTATAATCATACTGTTCAATCAAAATTAAGGGAAAAAAAAAATCTCTATCCATTCATTTAATGACAGAAAACTGGGAGAAAAAAGGAAAAAACTTGAGACTTGATAGAATAAAGAAAAGGATACTTTCTCTCCTCAATAAGTTTCATCAATGTCATCTTTTCCTGTTTCAAACGCAAACAACCCAATGTTAACATTACAAAAAGAGCATAACATTAACAAGACCCAGATTCGAAAATACCTTAATTAACTGATTAATGTAGTCTTCAGTAGCAGCAGAAATCTGTTGAGGCTTTTCCTCTTGGCATGAAGCCTTGGGTTGTGTCTGTGAATTGGTGATATCAGACAATCTCTTCCTCATCATGCTCCCAAAAGATGATCTTTTCGCCATTCTTTCACCACCCATTCTGCCCAGAAACGGTCTCAGAAAACCCCAAAACTCGATAGGTTGAGGAAGACTAAAGCAAAAAATATCAAAAAAAAAAAAGAAGAAAATTGAAGAATGAAGTGGGCGGATTTCGAAAAAACTGGCTTTTGTTCTTTAAGACTGAAGAATAAAGAAGCAAATTTGAGATCTTTCTTTTATTTCTACTTTGATTTGTGAAACAAGGACAGGATTCCCAGAGAATAAGGGAAAGATCGAACGAAAGAAATGAAGAGGGAAAGAAAAAGGAGAGAAAGCAAACGAACAAAGGCAAAGTAGCAAGGTAAAAGAGAAGATAACATGGAACAAGAGGTTTGGAGCTCTAACGGCTTTCCAAAGCAAAGCGCCAAAAATCACAAAAGGCAATTTAGTTCCCGAACCTAAGTTTAAATTTCCGAACCTTGTTCCAAGCCTTCTTTTCCTTTTTCCTTTTTCTTTTTTCCCTTTTTTGCTTAAGAATATTTTTTTCCTTGGGCATTTCAATTTTTTTTCCCTTTTTTGCTTAAGAATTTTTTTTGCCTAATTAAAAATTTAAAAAATCCTTTAAAATAAATATTTTTAAAATTTTCTAAAATTCTTAACTTTTAATTCATGCTTAAGTCAAAAGGACAAATAACTAACCTTACTCGCTTTTACTCCCCTACTTGTTTTTGTCTCTTGTATAAAATTTATTTATTATCAAGATAATAACATTTAATTTTATGATAATATATAAAATTTATAATTGATAATGAATCAAATATAAACCCAAATCTTATTTTCTCACCTAACTTTTGATTTTTTAAGCAATTATAAAAGTAGAGAACTTTTGTTAAAAAACATGGAAGTTAGAAACAAAAATAAAAGGTAACATTGATGAAGCATTAGGCATTTAGGCTCCATTGCATATTTGCATACCCCCTTGCCTTAAGAGAAGGGAAGTGCTAGACCTTGGAATAAAAAATAACAGTAGCAATAATTAAGGAATGACCATTTGGTTAAAATATTTACCTACTTATATATTGTACTACTTAACACATCTCATAATCTCAAGCATCCTCCATATCCCCCAAGTCAAAGTGACAAAGAGGAAAGGCTTGCAGTCATTGTTAAACTTAGATATACATAGATCCACTGAATGGGATTGATCCCAGAATAACCCCAGAATGTAGAAATGGGATATTCTGAAAATGTCAATGTGTTCAAAATCTCCTGCTTTTGAATCTGCATGATTCTGTAAACACTGCACCTGCTTTTGTTTTTGCAGCTTTGCCCATCTGCCTTGCCTGCAAAGATTGAATTTCGTCACATGAAGTCAGGAAGCGCTTTCCTCACAGTAATTTCGGTGCATATAGAGTACAGCACTCGAGAAATATTTGGCAGCAAAAAATAAATAAATTATTAACCCCTTGTTTCTCCATCTGCGAGGAAAGAAATTTCTCTGCTTTGCAATGCCTTGATGCATGCCAACGTATGCTAGAGGGTGCTAACATCAGCAAATGGGTTTGAAGGATTTCAAGATCTCTTGTCCAAGCATCAATTGTAGTTAAGAGAAGGAGAGAGAGGCAGAGAAAGAGACAATATGGCTTTACCACAATCCCCAAATTATGCCAGGTTAACTTCCTTTGGCTACTCTCAGTATCAAACATCTCTACATTCTTTATTGTGGATGGATTAGAACTCGTACTTGATTAATTGTTGCCAGCACCTTGTAGAAGAAATGCAGCTTTATTACGAACCTGCAAGATAGAAGGAATTAATAAATGAAAACAACCAGAGTCAGAGCTAGATAAGAGGAATGTGTGGTTCCATACTTTTGATGCATGCAACCTCAGGTCTGTGCTGGTAATTTGGCAAGAACAGTTTCGAAGAAAGAGACCCCACATTTCACGAATCACTGGCTTATCTCTCAACATTGGATCATATTGAAGCCAATTTTCAGTCAAAACCAGATAGAGGAACATCTTGAAAAAATCACAGGCCTTTTCTTTCACGTTTATTGAGATAAGCAAAGTCAGGATTCCTTCTTCATCAGGAACCTGAGAAGGAAGGCAATGTCAATCTGTAAGGTTATAAACTCATTTCCGACACAAATTTAAGGTACTTGTTGCTTCTCTCAGAATATGGTGTAAGACGCTAAAATCAAACTTAGAGTAAAAAATGGTTATTAACTTATTGATTTACTATTTTAAACAAACAATACATTACAATTACTATATTTTGGATGCTGCTGGTATGACATCACATGAACAATTAGCATAAGCACATGCATTAGTTCTTAAAAAACAATATGTTATGATAACTGTAACAGTGAGTAGAAAGAAATTTGCAAGAAAATAAGAACATTCCATCCGAGGCTAATAGACAAGCAAGTATAGTTGTCTAAGTGTACAGAAATCCAGAGGACTATAATGTAAAAGTAGAGGGCTACCTCATTCTCAAAACAATTAACCAGAATTTGGAAGGCAACAGCACTTCTGAGATGCTTGGAACGAGGATCGACTCCTGAAATGCATTGCATTGCTTGCAGGCAGTTCAAGTCCATAGGAACTCTGCATTCATATCAGGCAAGCATAAGAAATGAACTAGCAAAAAAGAAACAGCAAAAGGGAAATCGGTGAAACGTAACCAATAATATGCACTCAAGCATTGGGTGGCAGGTCAATGGGGCTAGGTTAAGAAACTATTAGAAAAGAATAATAACCTTGAGGCAAGAGATTTCGCTATTTCACAATAACAGTTAATCCATTCTTCTTCTGTGAATGAACTGATAACTGATTGCAGACAGTTGCTCATAAGAACAGAGAGACCTTGAAGTCGCCGGTCTAAGAATAGACAAATGATGACTTCTGCCAGCTCTTGACAGTCTGATGCCAAAAAAGCAGGCTGTTTACACCTGCAAAGAGAACAAATGTCATACTGCTTCAAAATCAGTAATATTTGAGAACAAGGGCAAAAACTTCATAGTGAGAGCATCATGTAATGATTATCACACATAATATTACTAATGTAGAGTGCAACCTCCAACTTTTAGGAAAGCCAACATACACATTTGGTTTCATTTGTTGGTATGTCTCAAACAGCAATATAACACTAAGGGACTAATTTTAAAAACATATAACACAAAATTTTGTTAATCTCAAAATAATGAGGAAGAAATGTGGGAGCATTCAACATTTTCTTTAGTACATGTTGAGCCCTAGTTAGCACTAATAGTTGCATGCAACTTACAGATCAACCACATGAAAAATCCATTAAATAAAATGCACTTACATACTTTAAGATCAGAAGCTACATTTTTCACATACCTTACTTGACAACATACAGCTGTAAATTTGATCCAGGTTATGATGTTTTGAGGTGGCCCTTTACAAACAGAACCTAAGCAGCAAAATTGATGTGAGAAAGATAAGATGGGAAGATAATCCTTTATTATTGATAAAAAGGCCACAACTCCAATGAGGCATGGACCCCAAGGGTGTTAACTCAAGATCTAAATCATTGAATACAATATATTGGATAGAGGAAAATAGAGAATTAAAATGCACGGTATATGCAAAGGAAGATGGCAAGTGTTCAAAATTTGAGTCACTGGAAATGTAAATAGGAAAGGAGGCAAGGTATTATACCATATATAATCAGTTGTTACAATGGTTCATGTCCTCAAAAAACTAATTGACAAATCAGATTTGAGTAAGCAATACATATTCTGAAAAGTCATAGCATTTTTCATGATTAAAACATAGTTATCAGGAACGTGGTATGCTCCAGGACACGGTATGGACTTGCAAACAGGGTATGCAGGTTAATTTATTTTATGGTACGATGGGCGTAAGTCTTCATTGGTTCGTTATTTTGGGTCATTGTACTCTCTAAACTATTTTTGGGATTATATTTACTTTTAAAAGAACACAGGTGTTAGTTCTTTAATTACATAACTGTATTCTAGCACCTATATCCTTTGAGTTTCCAGATTTGGCACCCATATGTCATGCATACTAACTCGTTACGTAGAAGATTTCTGATCATATTCTACAGAAAATAAAAGATTACTAAATTTATTTGCTGGATGAAATGGACTAAAAGCTGGCAAATAGACAATAGGGCTTACTGTTTTTAACAGATACGTTGGATGAAAAATTGAAACAAAACCCATATATCTCTAGGGCACTCTTTAGTTCACAATAGCTGGGGAACCAGTCAATTTCAATGGGTGGCACACCAACCTGGACAAGCATTACAGCCGACAAACAATAATTAATTCAAAGTCCAAAAACAGTAAAATGTAATTATTTTAGTCTATATCAGAATTTAGTTTTCAGTCTTTGAAGATAAATATCGATTACCTGAACTTTTGATGAAAGAATGGAGCACCAGAATTCACAGGCAGATGACCTCAACTCTTCTTTTGATGAATACAGCACTGATAAAACCAAAAGATAAGCACATAATAAACATCAACTGATTGGTAAATGAAGAAGCTGAGGCAAGGAGTTAAAAATATACTCACTCAAAAAAAAGGTCCATGTAGCTATTGATTTTTCTACACGACCACATTTCAAGATCAATTTTAAGAGCCACCCATTTATCAATAGCCCTTCAAGGAAAGAGCACTCTGGAAAGAACACATGAACGAGGTCAGTGATACACACAGAAACCTCGCTTTTGGCTAAACAGAATGCATATTATAAAAAACTGGAAGTCAGTGCAATTTGCAAATTGATATTGAAAGGGGAAAAAAGCATTTAAAAAAGAATGAGAAAGCAAGTACAAGAAAATTAAAGACCTTGTTCTGTAGCAAGCCCCACCAGAGAGTTGAGCTTATTATTCATGAAAGACTTCAAAATTGACCAACTTCCAAGCTCAGGGAAAGATAAAGGTGGTGAAGTCTTCTGTAATTTGCATAGAGAAACCAAAAATAGAGATTTTCAGTCATTTGAAAAATCCGGTCCCTTCGAAGAAGTTCTCCCAGTAAATGAGCACAATATCAAACAGGATAAACTAATGTTATTCATGAAAGCACCTTCTCTCCAAAGACGAATAAGCCCCACTCAGACAACTCTTCCTCCCCACTCATTGCTTTCATCTATAAAAGAAGAGTACATGCACTTTCAGTCAAGTTAAAAAAATGAAAAACACAATAAAACATAATTTTTTTTCAATAAAAATAGGAAAGGTATTTTCTATGCCTGTTCTTGGCAATCGTCAAGAAGACTTGAAAGCTTAGCTTCTTTTCCATTTTTATCCTCATCAGATTCATAGCTTTTTTGAGCTTTTGTCTGTTTCTTGGCGTCCTTCTCAATTTGTTTGCTTTGCTCCTTGTAATGTTCACTCAAAAGATCATCTAATCCAATAAGCTTTTTCCTAAATAACATTTACACAGAACATAATTACAAACAATCAAATCGAATTACATAACTACTAAAAACTGAACATAGTAATACACTCAATACGGTGGAAATGCTCTAGACAGTTCTCATCATCAGAAATCAAATTAATTTAACATAAATGGGAGAGCAAAATCATAATAAAGTAAATGCGTTCTGAAGTTTCGATTAAAAAATACTAAAATTTTTGAACAGGTTTCCATCTTTAGGGAAACGAACCATGTTCAAACAGATGGATACTCAATCAACTTCATAAGTGTAAATTCAAACTGAAAATAACAATAAATAAACATACCCTAAACCCTAGCAACCCAAATCCCAAATGGCATCAAATTCTACAACAAAAAGATAAAACAAAAACTACCCAGATAAGAACTCGGAATGTAAAAGAGAATATGATTGGGAAAAAAAGAGAAAAACTAAAAGAAGAGTAGCAGCCATTGAAGCGAAAGAAATGAAAACCTTTTCTTGGAAACAACAGGGTTAATAAGAAATGGGTCTTCTTTCTCAAAATCAAGTGGATCATCAATATCCATCATCTCAGTTTTTCTCTACCTCCAACAAAAACAAAACAAGGCACAGCCTGATAAACTTCCTTTCCCTGTAATCTTTCTCTCTCTTTGTTTCTCTAGTTTTTACTACCCTTTTGCGGTTTATGGTTGCCAATTAGCGCCAAAACCAGGAGCAAGCAAGCGCTTTGAAAGATATGGCGGTTTACCGGTTACAGGCCCAGAATCTGTGGGTTAACTGGCCTGTTACCTTTGGGCCGAATTGGAGCTCAAAGACTACAAATGGAAAGCAAATGCTTTGGGTTTGACAGGAGATGGATCGAACCCATTAATCAAACGAGGATTATTGTAGATATATAATATTTTGGAACCAATTAGCACAATGTAATATAGATAGTGACAGGATTTCAAGGCTAAGTTTCAATATTAAATCCACATGAACTTCTTGTTTTCTTCAAACATCCATAGATAGAGGAGGAGCTATGGACGATCGTTACTAGGAACAATATAATATAGCGAGAAGAAGATATATTATAGTACTATACTAACGTTTAGTTTTACATTGCTGTTGCGTAACGTGAGAAATGAATCCATTAAACTACTGCTAAACGTAATGCCAAACGAGATCTAAGTTTTCTTTGGATGAATAGAAATAGTACTGTATTTGACCCACAATTGATGCTGCAATGGCAGCTGGCATTTGGTTATGGCTTGACTTGACTTGATGTGATTATAGTATTACATTTTTTTATAGTAAACAGCTAAACAAGCATTTGCAATTTGCCATTTGTTTACAAGTTTTTCCCTTTAGATTCATGCTTCTTGCAATAATATCTCATTCCTGATGTGGGGATGAGTGATGGGAAATGGGCCAGAGGGCACCTAGGAGGTTGAGACTGGGGCGTGGATGGTTTTGGATTGGCTTGGCATGGCTGACCAAGATTGCAAAATCCCACTCTAGCAGAAAATGGAAAACCCCTCCTAGAACTAGAACAGGTTAAATTCCATAAAACCAGATGCTGCGGAGTCTAACAGACAAATTTGAAGTCTTGAAAGTCATGCAGTGTTTTCCGAATCCACCCGATCACAAGTTGCCACTTGCCAACAACCCACCCGTGACTCACAGATTCTGACACATAGGAAGAAGACATCACCGAATTGGGGAAAAAGGTTAGGCTCCCAGGCTGACACTGAGCCTTATTTTGTCATGTAATGCTGACAAAGAAGTTTGAGCAGATATTAACAAATGATAAAAGCCAAAAGTTATGCCAGCACAAGTCAAATGAAATGAGCATTCCCCGCCGGGCACTCTCCAATCTTTTCTAAAAGCAGCTTTAGATTATGAGGAAGTAATTGTACATAAAAAATTTAAACAGATGACAACGTGGGGATGCCTTTGAAACCATCCGTGCCAAAGGGAGGAGAAAAGAACGGAAAAGAAATGGGAACAAGCCCACTTTGCAACTCTGTCATTAGTCTGTATCAATTGTGAACCAAGTTCAATCTCACCGCCATTCTATATCAGATGCCAAGGCCGAATGACTCTTTCCTGTATCATAACTTCTCAGCATTTTCTCTGAACTTCTTGTATATATCGCTTTTGTAGAAACTCCTAGTTCTCACCACCAAAATCAGAGAAGTCAAGGCTCCAAAGAATGTAACAGCAGCCAAAATTATAAACTGTACCCTGTAACAATGAGTGCCAATGCAAGTCAATTCTTTCACCGAGGACCGTGTTAGACCTTTCTCTGCAAGATCCTTCAATGCCTCTCTGTCGTACAGCCAACCAGTAATCTTCACATTGAATATGTATGACCCCAGAGGACTAGCCAATTGTCCACAATTGAACAATGTAGAGTAGTGCTTTAGGCCGAAAAGCTCAGAAATGATGGCGAAAAGCAATGGCAATTGCGCACCAAATGAGAATCCAATTATTATTGATGCTATATAGAGTGAACCTGGGGCTGGAAATGCTACCAGGAGGTAGCCAATGCATGCAAGCAGAAGGACTGCTGTCATCATGAGTGGCCTCGGAAGCTTGTACTTTGCAAGCAGGGTTTCGGAGACAAACCCAGAAAAGACCCTCCCGAAGTAATTCCAGATGCTAACAAGTGACACAAAAGAAGTTACTGTTTTATTCGGATAGCCAAGCGACTCGCCGATCTGCCCCAAGTTGTCTACGGCTGTTAAGCTCGATCCAAGTCCACAAAATGTTGCAAGAAACAGAGTCAACATGTCAATGCTTGTCAGTGCTTGCAAAATTGTGTAGTTCTCTCCTCTGTCAGGCCTATCAAAAATGGTAAGGAAACAAGACTTTCCTGCCTTTTCATCAGCTTGTTCTGAGGAACTAAGGTTCGAAGCCTCTTGTTTTGATTCAACTGCTTCTGGTTTTGACTTCTCTGCCGCTATCTCGGTTGGAGGATTTATGGGCTGTTTCTTGATGTTCCATACTACTAATTCTTCTCTAATGGAAATAAAGAGAGGGACAAAGAGAAGGAAACAAACCACTGTGGTAGCACCAGCATATTCTGCTTTCGAGAAAGTAAGCAGTTTCTCAGCCAAAGTTAATGCCATGAGAAAAACTGCTAGCACGATCGAGGCGTAGAGGAAATGGTACAAGACTCGAAGCTCATTTGGGTGCCTAACAGGCCTCATTGTCCGAATTGTGTACACAAATATCAATGAAATTGCAGCCGGAAGCCACCCAATAAGGAGGATTAGAGATTTTGAATCATTTCCATAAATTGCCAAGTAAAGTTGTGTCATGACAGCTCCGCTTAGCCCTGTAAAGCCCTTCAAGAGACCTAACATGGCACCCCTGCTTTCAGGGAAGTTCTTGACACTGGTTACAAGAGCTCCCGTATTTGCAAAATTCTGAGAATTGGCTCCAACACAGATGTAAATGCACATTTGCCAAACCTTTGGCTTGGCTATTTTTCCGGTCACAGCTAACCATATCATGAAATAACCTCCAAAGTTGAGTGCAGCCCCAAGTAGGAGCACAAACCAAGTTGGTGTTACCTCAGCAACAAGGCCAGAAAGGACCCCAACATTAGCACCGAGATCCTTGAAGAAGCCTAAGAGATTGAGTGTCGTTTGATCATAACCAAGAGTAGCTTTGATCTCCTTGGAGTATGTGCCAAATAAATATGTTGCACCAGCTCCAGCCATGATTAAGAAGGAGGCAAACAGTGCAAACCATCGGCCCCTAAGGAACTGTACTGTGAACGGCAACAACTCATGGCCTTTGAGACCTCTTCTGATCGAGACGCTGCCTATTGCTTCTTCAACCATGATTTCCAATTCCTCTCTTGTCCTGAGGCTATGGAAATTGGAATAAAGAGAGTTGGTCAAGAAAAACTCTAGCCTGGTATTTTCCTTTGTAGGCCTTGCAACTGGACTGAAGAAGAAGAAAAACAGGATATGCTGATCTAAATCTTGGGATTGTTGAAGAGTTGTTAGTAAGAAAGGATTATAAATAAGACAAACAAAGTTTGTGGTTGGATTAAAAAATTGCAGTATTGCATGATAAGGACTAATCAGAGTAATGTTTGGTAGGCTGCTTTATAGAAACTTTGACAGGGACGGATTACTTGTCTTTGTTTTGGTTCCAGGCTAAGGCCCTCTATTGCTTTAACTCATTATTATTCTCTTCCGAAACAAACCCTTTATCTAGGGAAATTTAATCTACAAATTTGGAAGTCTGATTAATGCCCCAATGTCTAATTAATGTGGCCAACTGGATTTTATTTTCTATTTTTTTATTATTTTTTTTTTGAAAGATGATTTTTATTAATGATAAGCTGGAATGCCGTGGGGAGTCTTCAACGTTGAGATTTGGAGACTCCTATTGGCATGGAAGCTATCATAAGAAGAGCTTGTTCTGAGCAATTACAAAAGGAGCAGCTGCTCAAAAAGTACTTGGCAGCATCTCAACACGGATAATCTCAAAAACAAGTAGAGTTCTGGATAAATCCCTAAACAAAAGTCTAATACTAGTAAAACTCTATCAGAATGATAAGATAAATGAGTGTTTTAAAACAAACCACCGCCCACCGTGGAGCTCGAACCCAGAGATAACCTTTCAACCGGTACAGCAGTATCATAGATGCACAATGACATAAACAAGAAACAAAGGCCACACGTAACTTCCTCCTGATCGATTAAGTTCTTTTCTCTATCTCTTGCTCGACGGCCACCCTCCCATGCTGCACCGTACGATGCACCAGATCCAGATAAGAATCAGTGCACGTCAGAGCCCCAAACACAATAAATTAGTCATAGATATTCAACAAATCAACCTGACCCTGCACCGCTCCCTTGGCAAGGCTATCAACAAGTTGATTAGTTTCTCTGTAGATGTGTTTAATGTCCCATTTCTTAACCTCCTTCTTCAACCTTTCAATGTGCAAGATCCACTTCCTAAGCCTCCAAGGAGCATCAGATGGGTTGTTAGTCCATTTGACAGCATTTTTGAGTCACTTTCAATAAAAAGAGTGAGTGGCGGCCCATTAGAACAGCGAAGGTCAAGAAGGCCTCCCTAATTGCTCTGACTTCTCCACAGTACATCTTCCACTCCTATAGCTTTTGAGAAGACAATTTTAGTGTTTCCCTCTTCATCTCTCATAATGCCCCCAATCCCTCCTCCTAGGGCATCCTTTAGCTGCCCCATCCACATTATATTTCATCTCCCCTTCGTGCGGCTTGCTCCACTTCTTCACAATTTGGATCTTTTCCCTTTCTTAACCTTTGCACCCTCAGCTGGAAATCTATAAGTGTCTAAAACTGCACCATACTCAAGGGGTCACTTAGCTTGAGCCCATGTGTCAACTCTGAGTTTAACTAAATCAAAAACCTGGTCAGCACACCAAGTAATTCCTCTAAAGACCGTATCATTTCTATACAGCCACACTGACCACAATTAGCCACACTGACCACAAAATAGCATAAAAGTCCATGCACCAGATTTTAATCTCCCTTTCCCTGCGAAACCAGCATTCCAAGTATTAAACGAGTTGATTAAATCTTTGGGACAACCCAAGTAACCCCATTCTCTACACCATCTCATCCACACTTGCCAGACCTCAAGACAATGGAGGAACAGGTGTCTAACCGTCTCAGGTTCCCTCTTACAAAGCCCACACTCAGCTCCCTCCTGGTCAATTAAGTTCCTTTTCACTAGCTCCTGCTTGACGGCAACTCTCTCATGCAGCACCTGCCAACAAAATATCTCAATACGGTGAGGCACCAGATTTTTCCAAATATTTCTCCAAGTCTTATCCTCCCCACGATCCTTCAGGAGAACTTGTTTACAAAAGGATTTTAGGTGATGTTATTAGTTACTGGTGATGTTCCTTTTCACTTATCTCTAATAATGGACATTTTAGGTGAGCATTTTTGGCATTCTACTTATATATTCCTTTTGTTGTTTCCCCAAAAGGGAAAAGGTTGATTATGAGGCTGAGATATTTACTAATTTGTCAACTGAAGTTTATCAGATAAAAATACTCTCATCCAAGAAGGAGAAACAAAAAGAATACAAATATTTTATTTGAGGGAAAATTCTTCCGAAATTGGAAGATAAATCTTATGGAGAAACACAGTGTATACATATGCTGCTAAAGATATGGTATTGTCTTCCCTTTCTCGACCAATTTCTTTAGTGGTTAAAGCAATAAGAAAAGATGCAGTCACTTTCTCGATTGACAGCAATATGGCATGAGGCCGACATGTTTGAAAATCAATGGAGCTTGTAATGATCATCAGATGAGCAAATTCACATGAAAACTAAAGGTTACGTGCCTAGGCAAATCAATATCCAATAATTGGATTCGTTGGATATGTCACAAGGATTATTTCACTGGCAATGCTGCGCAACAATCCCACTAATAAAGACATTTTCCTTATCCATATTCAAGCTCAGTGCTAGGGAACTTTTTCCAACAGATTTCGTGTCAATTCCCATTTGTTGCAGAAGGGATTTGGGGGTGAATTTCTATGGAGGCAAAGATTATTCTGCTCAATTGTTCACATTGTTTGGTGGCATGTGACTGAACAGAAATGATCTAAGATCTATGCTATGTACACCTCATGGAGTCATGGTGCTGTGTTTAGTTTCTTTTATTGCTGGACATTAGCACAATCTTCTGGAAAATATATTCTGAAAAACCAGAGTTTGTATATAAAATGGCTGAAAATTATAGGTTCAAGGACTAGTTACTAGTTAGTAGTTAGTAACTCTGATATGGTGTTTAATTCCCAAAGCAAAAGCAGAGGAGAAGATAAAACTTTTCCTGCAGGCATTCCTGAAAGCAATGGCAGTGGATGCCGGGGCAATTTTTGCAAATGGGCAACATAGATGGGGAATTATAGAAGTTAAACTAAGAACTAATCATGCACATGGCTTCCATCAAACGACATGGAATCCTAGAAACGAGGAACGGATTAAGAGGTAGATTATGTTCTTTATCAGTTGGTGTTGCTTTTCCAAAAGGTTGCTCATCACCCAAAGTGTAAAAGGAGAAAAAAGAAAGGAGGAAGGACAAACCGAAGTCAACCAAAACATCATTAGAAATCATTCCCAACCTGACTATTTCTGGGACATGTTTAAGGGAATGGCGCATGTTCCCTATATGATGTTTCCTATCAGATGCTGAAGGCCATGCTTTTTGTGTTACGTTTTCCGAGCTTCCCGATGAGAAAATGAGTGAGATTGGGAGAAAAGAAACAGATTTAAACAATCTTAAGAAATACAATGTTTCTTGATCCCAACTTACTAGTTAGTTTGCACAGGCTGTACAAGCAGCAAACCTGCTTAAGCAAGTTGTTATCTGGGTCTTTTTAAAGCTGTTTACCTTGCTAATTACTAGCAATAAGAATAGCCCTCCCTGCAACAGACCTCCTGCAGCCCTGCGCGTTGCCTTGGGACTCTGGGTACGTAAATGCATAACCCAAGCCCAAAAGTCTGTTTTAGTACATAAAAAATGGATGAAAACTCGAGGCTTAGCTTGCTGATTCATTTCGTACTTGTAAAGACCCATCTCGAAAATGAGCCCAGAGGGAAAGAGATGAAGGAGGACCTATTAGTTGTGTGCAAAACAACAAAGGTCCATAAAATAGAGTCTATTCTTTCTTTTCAAGGCCATTCAGAAGAAGGATTCGTGGGTTCAATGAAGTTCCATAAAAGAGTAGACTTGGGTTTTGTTTTTTTAACATTGCTGCAAGGTATAGCCTCTTTGGGTTTCTAAAAAGATACCAGGTGGGGCACAAAGCCCACTCATACTCATTACTCAAAGTTCAGAACCAACAAATGCCAGAGAAGCAAAAGAAAAAGGACTACAATCTCAAGTTGATATGTTGATATAAATATATGTGCTATTTAATGCAATCCATTGAATGCAGAATCTAGTTGGGATCAATCTCTAAGGTTTAATCTGTTATTCTTGGTTTATCACCCGAATTACCATTTAGGAGTGCTTCAAAACAGTAGTTTGTCGAGTCAAGCAAGATGTTTTAGTGCAGGATGACCAGTGAGCTTCCTTGTTTTCGATGAATTTTCCCAAGCCTTCACTGTTCCCCTTCGATGAGCACATAGAAACATGGCAATATGCTTGTATATTTGTCCCCTTTGAGCAAAAGGTTCTTTCTACCAATAATTCAGCACATTCTTTTCCTCTCACCAACACAAATATTTGGCCTAGCATGTTCTCAGACAGCTCATACTTCAAAGACAGTAGGGTCAGCGGCCTCCAACAAAATGTTTTCAGCTGCTTAGATTCAAGGTCTTCCAATGGGGTGGGTCTTGGGGGTCCCTTTTCTACCCCTTTTCTTCAATGCTTTCATAACTTTCAGGGCATCATTTGGACAGGTTTATTATTGGCTCTAACTATCTCCAGGAGTGCAAAAATTTGTTAGGAGATTACTTTGTCAGAGGAATATGATCCAAATGAACAGTAAAGAGAAGAGGGGGCCTCCATGTTTCAA